GCTATGATGTCTCTGGCTGCTGAGAGTAGGTGGGTTATAAGCTCTTTATGATGTGAGTTGGCATTATTATCTTGGAAGGTGTTTAGTGGGGCCAGTTCCGGGGTGACTTCTAATACTTGCTTAGTTATTTTGCATATTTCTTGTACGATTGTTGTCCAAAATAGTTGGATTTGGGGGTATTCCCACCACATGTGGAAGTATGTGCCTGTGGAGGTGCATCCTCTCCAGCATTTTGGTGAGGTCCCTGGGCGTGTTAGCGCTAGTTTCTTTGGTATTAGGTACCATCTGTAAATGAGTTTCAGAGCGAGTTTTTCCCTTTTTGCTGATATGGATTTAAAGGGAGGTTTTGTCACGGGACTGCCAGGGAATGCCTTTGAGGAGCAGGAACAGTCAGAGGGAGGTAGAGAGGAAGTGACGGATGGGGAAGAGGGAAAGGGCCAGGAGGCTGGAAGGCTCTCCGATGCTGAAGCAGAGTCCCAGCACCACACAGGAAGTTCAGGAACAACCTGAGAGCCTGTCCCTGTGCCGTCTGCTCAGGAAAGGAGAGGGTTAAAACGAAAGGATCAGAGACGTCCCATGAAACTTCCCTGCCTTTTCTGTTGGAGGAGAAGCAGGAGAAGACCACCCCCGAATCTGAACCGGATAATTCGGATGCATGATTGTAATGTGCTGCTTGTACATATGTAAAATAAAAAACTGTAAATATCTCTCTGAGTGAGCAGAGGGTGCTTATTGCGAAGAGCATACACAGGCCACCACAGATTTAGACCACATTCTGGTCCACTGAGTGGGGTTAATCTCATAGCCTATGTTGTCCTCCCATTGTTTTTTTGATTACGTCTAGGGGGGTTGTGGGATTTTGGAGTAGGATTTTGTACTTTGAAAACCTCCTCCTAACAACAAAAGGACACGGCAAAGGGATGGTAATTGCAATGTACAAAATCACATTCCTTTTTAAAAAAAAAATCTCCTGCTCTCTTCTTTCCTTCCCAGGTGCAAGATAAGTTCCGCCTGGATCTCTCTGACGAGGAGGCTGTGCACTACATGCAGAGCCTGATAGATGAAAGTGTCCATGCTCTCTTTGCTGCGATGGTGGAGCAGATCCACAAGTTTGCTCAGGTAAGAACATTAGAAGAGCCCAAAAGTCTTTCTTTTTTTAGGTAGTAGCTGCCAGTAGGCCACTCCTCGCTGAATTTATTTCATTCCTTTTTTTAAAAAAAAAAGTTGGCCAGATACCTTACCTCATCACCCATTCTAACAGTGAATTCCATAAGTAAATCATACGGTGTATAAATTTGAAAATGCAGTTCCCTGTCTGCCCTGAATAATCTTAGTTCTTTAGCACCTGAGACACTCAAGCTGATTTGGTTGAGACTGCCAAATCACACGCACGCGCACACTCACAAACATGCACACTCTCACTCATCTAAACACAACCATCTAAAAAGCAAAACAGTAGCTTGGGAAGCAGATTGCAGGTTCAGTCCCCGTATGGAGCAGCTGCATATTCCTAAATTGCAGGGGGTTAGACTACTGTATTTTCGCTCTATAAGACACACTTTCCCCTCCTAAAAAGTGGAAGTGTATGTGCGTCTTACGGAGCGAATGCAGGCAGGAGGCTCTGCTCAACGCTCCCTTTAAAGAGCTCCGTGGAGCGTGTGTGCGGCTCTTGGGGGCTTTTCCCTCCCTCCTCGGGGAAAAGCCCCTAAGAGTCGCACACACTCTCTGTGCGCTCTTTAAATGGAGCGCAGCTCTTGGGGGAGCCTTCATCTCGCTGCCCTGAAGAGGCTGCGCGCGGCTATCCCAGAAGCCAGATCCCTCTTGCTGTTCTGGCTTCTGGGATTCCGAATATTTTTTTTCTTGTTTTCCTCCTCTAAAAACTAGGTGTGTCTTATGGTCTGGTGCATCTTATAGAGTGAAAAATACGGTACATGATCATTGGGGTTCCCTTCCAACTCTATGATTCTATATTTAAGAGGCCCTGTGGTCACCACAGCCGCCTTGCCAAGCTACAGATTTCCAGTCTGTCTGCATTCACAGTGGCAACAGAACTCTTTGTGAAGGTCTCCTGGTTTAGCAAGACCTTGGGACAATTGATTCTTTGGCACCCGAGTCAGATTTTGCATTGTAACTCACTGCACATCCCAGCAGGTCTGTGGCAGAGGATCCAGGATTTCTTCCTGTCCAGGAGAAGCATGTGGCGTAGCCAGAATAGAACACTCTGTCTCTGTCAACTGGCTATACAGATGAGAATGTCAAGTCACAAGAAAGCAGAGCCACCCAGGGGAGGCAGAGGGCATAGCAAACAAGATGAGGAGGAATCAGCAGGGCTGGAAGGAATCTCTGATCTGGAGCACAAATAGAGGAGGGCATGCGGTACCCAGCTTTCAGGACCCTGGACAGGTCACTAGGAGCTGATTGCATGTTCTGAAGGCACCTTGCCCCCAAATGCATTTTTTTATACCTTTTGATCCTGCATACCCATCTCAGGTTCAATATGACATGTGTCCCTCAGCTGCGTAATGGAGAGCCTTAAAGACACACCCCCATGTGATGAGCAAGGAACTGGAAACCCTGAAGCCCCTGGTTCCTTTGGGGATTCTAGTTCAGAAGTGCTAGGATTCCTAGCCCAGGGCTGTCATGTTCAGGCTCACTTTCTAAGCTGGAATTTGGTGCCTCAAGAGCTCGTGCTGGGTCGCCCAACCTGGCTCACCTTATAAATTTGAGTGCTTCCTGATCCTCAAGTTCCAGATAGAGACCCCCTAAGAGGAGAAAGAACCGGCCTTTCCTTCAGGGTCCCTTGAGATAGTCTCTTGTGGCACACCACAGCATAGGAAGCTTTCATCTGAATGTGCAGTCCTGGTCACTTAGCCTTCTATATCTCAGTCCATGGCAGGAATCTTGGACCAGAACAACAACACCTAAAGAGCCCTGCTGAATCAGACCAAAAGTTCCTCTATACAAGCATCTCATTTCCAGCAATGCCCAACCAGAGACTTCCAGGCAGACCTTAAGTACAGCGTGAGAGCTTTTTCCTGTTGTTAGTCTTCAAGCAACTTGTATCCCGGACACTGTGATGTAAACACACAACTGCAGTAACTGGATATGCACATTATTGATATGAAGTGCTGCCCTGTTTTCCCCCTTTTAAAAGTGGCATTGGCACACCAAAGACCATGGATTAGATCCTAATGGTCAAAAGAAAAAGGCGACCCACAGTCCTCTCCATTTGCCCTCCCCAAGGGTTGGTGGGTGGAAGGTAGCAGATTCTTTTGTGATGGGTTCTCATTTCTCAAGAGTTCTTGTGCCAGCAGCGCATTAATGTTCTTTCCAGGTTGGGCTAATAAATCAAGAGGTTACAGATTTGATCTTGGTCATCCATTTTTGTTTTTCTTCATCTTTTATGTTTCCAGTCAGGCTCATTCATTCATAACATTTCCCTCCTTCCTTTTGCCAGGAGTTTTACAACTGCAAGACCATTCTGTTACGGTGCAATTGAAAGTTTTCTTAGGCTGTGCTTTGCTAGTCCATGAGATCTTCAACTTCCTTCTGTTGTGGTGGTTGCTGCTGCTGCTGCTGTTTTGTTGGTGGTGCTTTTAAAGCATCAGATCTCCAGCATCACTTGCATCCAAGCTATTGCTCCTGGAATCATCACTTGTCAGTGTAGGCTCAGACGGCCTCAGTGGCTAGGAGAGCTTTCTACCACCCCTGGGTGGTTCACCACTTAGATCCCCTTTTGGACAGAAGTGACTTTTCCTCTGTACTCCATGCTCTGGTAACTTCCAGATTGATTTATTGTAATGTGCTGTAGGTGAGGCTGAGCTTGAGGATGACTTGATGTTGGGAGAGTTTGTAGTCCAAGACATACAAAGGGCAGCAGGATGATGAAGACAAGTAGTCAACTGTGTTCATCTTTCGAGAAAAGAGGATGTAGCAGAAGTTTGCTGTACTTCAGTTGTTTATTCTTGGGACTGGATATGCTTCCCATGGTTTTCTCCAGGACATCTATTAATTAGGGGCAAAAATAATTGCTGCTTTAAATCCTGTGCAAATTGGCGTGTGACGCTGTTGAAATACAATGGGCTTCTGTAGCCGCTGACATTATTAAAGCCTCTTATCTCAACCGGCGAAACCAGCAGCCCCAGCTATTATTCCAGATCACCACATTTTACGAGGCTCTTTATTTTTTATTTTATTTTCCAGAAGTAAATATATATTATTACTGATGGGTATCGAGTTTAATTAACTGGAAAGCATCAAGTTCCACGTGGCCTCAGTGCCACAGTATGACCAACCATTGACGTTTTCTCATTGGAAGCCCATCTGCAAGATAATGCAGCCTTTTTAAAAAGCAGGGAGACGCACTCCAGCTGCAACAAAGTTTGAAAGTTTGTGATTGGCACTCTGGCCTGCATGTTGTGCTGGGGATAATAATAAGACCCACAACATAACTGGCTATGTTTAACCATATGAATTCTTTATACATCATATAAACATACCTCTTTTCACATTATCAAATTAAGTAGACGCAATTAAAGACCAACATTTTGAACAGGAAATACAAATAGATCAGTTCTTATATACATAATGTCCAAATAGAAGCTTTTTCGTGTTCCACGTAGGTCTTTACAGACACAAGTGTCAGACGCGACAACTTTGAGAAGCAGTGCTTGCAGGAAATGAACTTTTTCTTTGTAATGTTCCACATATGCCTTTGCAAATATAGCTGTTGTATGCAGTTGCTGTATGCAGGTGTCAGACAAAAGATACGAAAGATCTTAACATGTTCCTTTGCAAAATATAGTTGTTGTATGCAGGTATCAGATGAAAGTTGTGCTGGGGAGGTATGTGCTTTGAATGGTTAAAACTGAGGGTGGAGAGTTGGGGGAATTGCCATGTGTCCAACTTAGAATGTGAAATTCCTTTATTACAGTTTTGTAGAAAAGAGAGCAAAACAGACAAGGGTGTAAATCAGCATCTACACAACTCCTGATTGATGAGGAATAGCTCAATCAGTAGAGCAGGAAACTCTTAATCTTGAGGTCGTGGGTTCAAGCCCCACTTTGGGCAAAGTATTCCTGTACTGCAGGGAGTTGGACTCGAATTCAGCGGTTCTCCACCTGTGGGTCCCCAGATGTTGTTGGACTGCAACTCCCATCATCCCTGAGCTCTGCCCTTGCTAGCTAGGGGTGATGGGAGTTGTAGTTCAACATCTGGGGACCCACAGGTTGAGAAAGGCTGGACCAGATGATCCTTGTGGTTCCTTCCAACTCTGCAATTCTGTGATTCTAATCAGCTCTATGCTCTGCCTCTCGAGTTGGAGGCAGCAATACCAGTTGCTGGAAACCACAGGAGGAGAGGGTACTCTTGTGCTCAGGTCCTGCTCGCAGTCTTTACATTGGGGCATCTGGTTGGCCGCTGTGAGAACAGGATGCTGGGCCATTAGCCTGATCCAGCAGGCTCTTCATGTCAACGCTGTGATGGCCTGGGACTCGGGCTCGGACTCGGAACCAGAGGAGTCTCAGTCCGCACCAGATCCTTTGCCTCAGGCATCATCTGAACCAAGTCTGGGGCCTGATTATGAAGAGCCCCAGTCTGCACAGGTTCCCCTGCAACAAGCACCAGCTGGGCTGAGTCAGGGGCCTGCGCCTGCCCTGGCTCCAGATGCGGGAATTCCCTCGTTGCCTTCAGCTGGGCCATCACTTACAGCTGCTCTACTACCAGTTGGGTCAGGAGAGGCTGAGGCGCCCCTGGGTCTAGCAACCCACTGACGTCTCCTGAGCTGCAGAGTCTGAGGTCTGAGAGAAGGAGAGACCTGAGTACTCACAGGAGGAGAGCTTGCCTTCGGGCAAGACAGGGAGGTGAGTCACCAGGGGATCAGGCCCGGCTGTTACCCCGACAAAGATAAAAGGCTGTCGGACCCCGCCCCAGGTTGTGGGAGCAACATTGCTGTTTGCCAGAACCTGCCGGAGACCCTGTGCCTGACCTAGCCTGGTTTCCTGCCTTGGCCCTGTCGGACTGGCTCCTTGCGGAATCCTTGGATTCGGGACTGGACCTGGACCGTGTTGCCCGGGTTAACCCCTGGGCCCAGCACAACCGCAAACATAATAACAGCCTTGCTTGAGTCACTCAGTCCAGCATCCTGTTCTCACAGTGGCCAACCATATTCCTGTGGGAAGCACTCAAGCAAGACCCGGGTGCAACAGCGCTCTTTTTGCAGAGGTTGGGTTAGGCATTACAAGACGTCTCCCCAGGAGGTCAGAATGGACTGGTAAATCTTATAGCGGTCCCTCTTGTACGACAATCTGGAAACCACCAGCGGCCCTAGGTGCTTTTAAGAGAGTCCTAGGTTCTTCCTTGGAGGTTTTTAAGCAGAGATTGAATGGGCATCTGTCATGGATGAATTAGTTGAGATTCCTGCATTGCAGGGGTTGGAATACATAAGGAATAGACGGGGTCCCTTCCAGCTCTACAATTCTATGATTCCATAGACTACAATAAAAGTAACAAAGCAGGTGTAGAGACCTTTGGACCTCGAGACATTGATTAATGACAATTCCTATCATCCCTGCCCTTTGGCCATGTTTTCTGGGGCTTATGAGAGTTATAGTTCGGCAGCATTCGCAACTATTTTAATTGTTAGACTATTTTGAAGGGTTTGTTTCTTATTTATTTTAAGTATGGATGTCTTGAGATGTGGGTGGCACGGTGGTCTAAACCACTGAGCCTTGGGCTTGCCGATCGGAAGGTTGGTAGTTCAAATACCCGCGACTGGGTGAGCTCCCGTTGCTTGGTCCCAGCTCCTGCCCACCTAGCAGTTCGAAAGCACGTCAAAATGCATGTAAATAAATAGGTACCGCTCCGGTGGGAAGGTAAACGGCGTTTCCGTGCACTGCTCTGGTTCGCCAGAACCGGCTTATTCATGCTGGCCGCATGTCCCGGAAAAACTGGCTGCAGACAAACGTTGGCTCCCTCAGCCAATAAAGCGAGATGAGCGCCTCAACCCCAGGGTCGTTCGCAACTTTACTTAACTGTCAGGGGTCCTTTACCTTTACCTTTATGGATGTCTTAATGCGGTTGCTTTATTGTGTATTTTAATTGTAGGTAGCTGTATTTTTTATCTGGTTTGTTTTGGTTATTTTGCTTGGTGTTTCTTCTTGAAATGAAAGGCGGCATAGAAATCATTTCAACGATAGCAACAGCATCAGGGAGAGCCAAATTTTCCAACAAATGCAATGGAAGAAACTATTGAAGGATCAGAGGTTTCTTTTTCGTGCTTAGAACACGTGTGCCAAAGAGGCAAGCCACTTCCCAGCTTTCAGTGTAAAACTGAATTGCTTTTGTGAGTGATCCCTTGAGAGTGGGGAGAAATATTCATCTCAGCCCTAGTTTTTCTTTTCTTTTTCATAGCAAACTTCAACCTGGCTCACAGCACGAGTGCATGCCTCTGAATATCATTGCAAATCTCTGCATAAAGAGGTGCTGTGCACTAGTGTTATTGGGTGACTTCATGCAAGTCCTGTGCTGTCGCTCCCTATATAAAAAGTGGGAAACCTGATGTTAATCATGTTAAATTCTAGTCTCCGTCTACCACTCTCTTCATTTTAGTATCGCTGCTGGTTCTTTTCACAGAGAAGAGGTGTCTAAATCTGATTTTGATATTCCCAAATGAACGGAGCCCAAAACTGATTTGCCGTCTTTGATAGATATTTATAAATTACATGCTCGGATTCGGTTACTTCCCTGGATTATTTGGTTAAGCAGCATTGCAAATGAGGGATGTGTCTGAATGGTTCATTCAACCCAGTTTTACCCATTAGGATTGTAAGACGACCCAAAATAAAAGCCCTGCCAAGTGATTTGTGCGCTTTGCTAGGAGTTCACTAGTTGGCCTGAGTCGCTGTCCCTCAGCCTCATCTCCTCATAATAAGAGCCCTGGTGGATCGGACCAAAGGCTCTTCCAGCATCCTGTTCTCACAGTGGCCAAGCAGATGCTCCAATGGCAAACCATCAAGCCACAAGAACACTCTCCACTCTCCAGTTCCCAGCAACTGTTCCTCAGAGACATTCTTGTTGGTGCAGGGAGGCAGATGGCGCTGTGGTCTAAACCACTGAGCCTCTTGGGCTTGCTGATCAGAAGGTCGCCGGTTCAAATCCCCGCGACGGAGTGAGCTCCTGTTACTCTGTCCCAGCTCCTGCAAACCTAGCAATTCAAAAGCAACCAGTGCAAGTAGATAAATAGGTACCACTGTGACGGGAAGGTTAATGGCGTTTCCATGCACTCTGGCTTCCGTCACAGTGTCCGTTGCACCAGAAGTGGTTTAGTCATGCTGGCCACATGACCTGGAAATCTGTCTGTGGACAAACGCTGGCTCCCTCGGTCTGAAAGTGAGATGAGCGCCGCAACCCCATAGTCACCTTTGACTGAACTTAACCATCTAGGGGTCCTTTACCTCTCCTTTGTTGCCTTACTTATAGGTGATGTGGAGTTAATAACACAGCTCTACTTCCATAGGTTTATTGCAACAACCACTTTGAGATAAATCATACGAAGCATTTTGGACTCTTCAGTCTGCTACATCAGTTCTAAATGACATGATTTGGTGTACTATGACTTGCACCCCAAGGCCAGAATATGAAAGATCTAAAATAACTGAGGACTCAAAGGACAGGGTAACCAAGCAGAAAGGGCTAAGTCCTCCAAATCATGATGACACAAAAACTAGTCTGTTATTGAAAGTGTTGGACATTTGCCTTCTCATTTGCCATACAATGTTTATTTTTCACTTCCAGTGACTCTTTTGGCGCGGCAGCACCTCTGGAACTCCCTGCTCATTGACACTAGGCAGGAGTCTTTGCTGTGTTGCTTTCATCAGCTGCTAAAACCATTTTGCTTGTTTGTTTGACATATAATTTCATTGTGCATTACTTGTTTAAAGCTGTAGGTTTTAACTGTATTTTGGTACTTAGATTATGTCTGCTTGCTTTCAAAGTCTGTTGTTATTGTTGGTATTTTCTTATCAATATTTTATATTATTTAAAATAAATTGCTTTTAGGGGTGTGGGTGTTAGTGTGTTAGTACTAACCAATATATAAACCTTGTTAAATTATTTTTTTAAGCTCATTAGATATTTAATGACAACTTCCCTTGGAAATTAGACACCCATGCATGAACACCCACTTGTGGGTTGCCATCCACCTTTCTGAAGTCTTTCAGAACCAGCCCAATAAACTCCCCCCCCCCCCCAGTGCAGTCAGTCTTGGGGAAGGCAACAAGTAAAGCAACCTACAACATCCAAGCCAAATTGATGCCTTACTTTATGTTTGATTTCTTTTCTCTCTTTCCCTCTCTTATTTAGTACTGGAGAAAATGAACCCCATCAGCTTCTGGAGGAAACCACATGGCTGTGTGTTAAGCTGTTCAAGATGGTACCCAACAGAGTGTACTGAACATTTTAGCAGCTCAGATAGTTTGCCTCGTCTGGGTTTCCATTAAGACAAGTTCAAGAATGTGGTTTGGTGCCTAGACATTTCCGCCATGAAGTTTCGAAAAGAGAGCAGCAGCCTTCCAAATGCAAATACTATGAAAAGAAGAATGTGTCATGGCCTTCTAAGTGTTTCTCTGCACCCGATGTTGGAATCAGAAACTGAAGCTTACTACTGCGCTTAACTTGCCTGGTGTCTATAGGAGCTCGTGTTACAAAATGTCCATTTTAATGAATGGAAAGAAAAGTATTGTCAAAGCTGTTTGTGGACTTGGGAACTGAAGTTTGGGGTTCACTGATAGGACTTGTCCAAATTGTCATTAGGAATAAGCAGCTGTGTGGTTCTTTCTTTTGGTGACAGCTGTCTTCCAAAGTGTCAGCAAGAGCCCACCCACAATGAAAAAAAAAGCTAAATATCACTGATGGTCTTAAAAAGCCCTTAAAGATAGAGAGATTCAATGCTTTCATTCTCTCAATAAAGAATAATGTACATTGACTAAATATTCCAAAACTAATAAATTTCTTTTGATGCAAAGTTCTCTTTATTTTAAGACTCCTCCTTTGTCTTTCTCAGCTCTTGGGTG